AATTATTTCGATGGTTTTTTCGATAGAGTTCCGTTTCCCGAATGAGGCCTGAGACTCGGAAAGGGTTTCCGGCCTCCAGCTCGCCCGCGGAGACGATATTTGAGGTCTTGAGGACGTTGTTCATTGAAATATCCCACCAACTTTATGCATGCAGATTTGAGAGAGACGAATGCTCCACGACTTGAATGATCATGCCATCCGGTCTCATTCGTTTTCCGGCTTCGAAGCATTTTTCCACAAATTCTCTCCGGGTTACGGTAATAGTCTTGATCACCTCCATCGCCGTCACTTGTGGTCCTCCGCAAAGTCTCGATGCACAGTGAAGCTCAGCCCGAGAGCGCACAACGAAGAGCGATCCCGATGCACGTGGTTTCCTGCTTGACTTCCAACTTCCTACAGAAGTGGAGACCGCGCCAGCTTGCCCGTGAGTCAGACTCGGAACATCGTCTGCTGGCGCTCAAGAGATCGCTTTTCGGGAACGAGCTGTTGGATGTCGGATCGCCGAGATGACTCGCTTCGCCCCCGAATCGCGAGCACCGATCGGGATCCATATCCATGCTATTGTAAAAGAGGGAATCTCTCTCCACAATCGAAGCGGATCAAAGCCTGTAGCGAATTCTGCATCCCGGTATCTCCGCCTTTGGTCACCCACGAGCAGTGAAAGAGAGGAAAAAATATTCTAAGACAGCCCAGGCCATCTCGTCTGAAGCATGCCCGGCTATAATTCGATGTCTCCGATGAAGACCTAAAATCAGCGAAAATTTGCCTTTTTTTTTTTTTAAAGCCCTTAGCGCAAAAATGCGCAGAAATTGGAGATGTGCTTCGAAAAGCGGAAGGCTTGAGGAGCTTTTAAAAAAAAAAATTCCTGGGGTAAGTCGGGGCAAAGGTCTTAAATGAGCAATTTAGGTTTTCGCCTGTTGTCGGCCACGGAAGAATTCTCCCTCGGTCGTATCGACACAAATCGCAACTCTTCGGGTCGGTGCGTCCTTGTGGGGGGTCATCCGTCCCTAATTTTCATCGTATCGGGTAGTCTGAACCATTCAAGTTTGAGATATGGGCGAAAAACGACCGAATAATTTTGTCCACCTAGAAATCGATTTTTGACCACTGTGCGCCGGAGCACGGAGGAGCCACGAAGCAGCACTCAACGACTGTTTACATCAAGGCGAAAACCTACTTCCCCTAGTGCCGAATGCGATTTCGGGAATGCGAATTCGCCATTACCGCCGACATCGGAAAAACTTTCCTACAGTTCGAGATCTACCCGAGTGACCGAACTTTCCTCAGATTCCTGTGGCCACTCGGTATCTCCGAGAAACCAGACGCCCGCGCCCCCATCAGGGAATTTTGCACGAGAGTTCTTGATTTCGGACTGATCTGTTCACCATGGCTACATATCAAAGGGGTGAAGCACCACTTGAAGGACTGCCTTCAGTCACCCTCCGAGGACCAAGATTTCATCACAGAAATCGCGGATAAGCGATTTCTTGGACGACGTATGTTTCGGGGTAGACTCCAGGGAAGAGGCGAGAAAGAAAATCGCCAAGCTGTTCGATATATTCCAGAAAGCTCACTTCCCTCTCCGAAAATGGTGCACAAGCGACAGAACCATCGCGGAAACCATCGAGGAACTGTCGCCTGTTCGAGAACACTACAATCAGAGCCGGCACCGACGACGCTAATTTTCTTGGAGTGAGATGGTATCACTCATCGGATAGTCGCCGTGTCTTCTCACAGAAAGCACTGACGGAACTCACTACGAACAACCCATCCAAGAGAAAACTTCTCAAAGGGCTCGCACAGATTTTCGACCCTCTCTGCATCATGACACCCGTCACAGTAAGAGCGAAAAGACTCTTCCAATCCCTATGGAAGAGAAAGATCGACTGGGACGACATCCTCCCAGAAGACATCAGACTCAGCTACGAAGATTTCGTCTCCACGCTGAAGAGATGCGCAGAATTCAGGATAAACAGACCGCTCAGCTCGCTGTTCTCGACAACGAGTTTCGAATTGCACACGTTCTGCGACGCGTCACTGGAAGCGTACGGGGCAGTGATCTACTTGAGAACGATCGGAAACAACTCAACGGAATCAAGACTCATAATATCGAAGGCACGAGTCGTCCCCACGAAAGCAAGATGGTCGATTCATCGCTATGAACTCATGGGAGCCCTGATGGCCGCGCGCATGACGGCCAACATCAGGAACTTCCTGAAACTCAAAATCGATCAAGAGTACTACTGGATTGACAATATGGCTTGTGTCTCCTGGATTCGCAGCACACCTGAAAAATGGCAACCATTCGTCGCGAATCGTGTCCGGGAAATCGGCAAACTAACGTCCCCCAACTCATGGAGATATGTCAAATCAGAGAAAAACCCCGCAGATATATTATCTAGAGGTGCAGATATCTCGAATCCAGAGGGCCGTTCTTGATGGCTCCATGGACCCCAGTGGTCGACCGTCCCGAACTGGAGGATTCCTATCGATCAACCCACAATCGAAGAAACGAACGAGGAAAGGAAATCGCAGACGGCGATATGCCTCCACACCGTTCACAACAAGGAAGACGATCCGATCGACAAACTCCTCAACCCAACGCGTTTCTCTTCGTGGTCGAAATTCGTGAGAGCGCAAGCATTCTGCAACCAGTTGAAAACGCTCGCCCGAAAAATTAAATCCAAACAGTTACACCACAGGAATTCGACTCGCATTACCACCCTCAATCGAGTCGACGGACTACATATAAAACCATCGGAATACGAAGAGGCAGAACGCGATCTGATGAAGAGGATCCAAAAGAGACACTTCCCGACAGAGGTCTCGACAAGCGGCAAAGAGATTCCGAAGACGAGTACCATCGCGCAGTTCCAACCCTTCATGGATGTTGACGGCATCTTAAGAGTGAGATCCCATCTAAAGAGATCCAACGATCATTCGTACGACCAAAAAAATCCGGTAATCATTCCAAGCGAAGATGGCTGGGGCAATTTGATCGCGCTCTCTGTTCACGGCAGAGAATGCTGGCACTGGGGCGGCATCGCGATGACTCTACAAGAACTCAGGGAAAAGTAATTCACTCTGAAATCTAGAAGAATCGTCTATGAGACATTGAAGACGTGTCCGGGCTGCAAACGCTACAACGCCAAACCAGCCGCTGAGCCGACTCCACCACTGCCAGCCTTCAGAGTCGCAACCACACCGCCGTTTCTCTTCACAGGCGTGGATTTCGCTGGTCCTTTCGCATACAAAAAGGAAAACGGAAAGAGGGCGAAAGCGTACATCCTGCTATTCACCTGCGCCGTCTCGAGAGCCATCGCACTCTTTCTCACTAAAGACCTGTCGACATATGAGGTGTTGAACGCGTTACAAAAATTCATCAACCGTTACCCATCAGCGAAAAACTTCGTCTCGGACAACGGAGCGTCCTTTCCTTGCGCCGATTTGGAAATTAAGTTGATATACAACCACATTTCGAGAGGAGACATCTCATCATGGCTCACAGACTCGAAATTGACATGGAATTTCATCTCACCCGCAGCACCATGGGTCGGCGGTTTCTGGGAACGAATGGTAGGCTGCGCCAAACGCTGCCTGAAACGGACCCTCAGGACAACCATCCCATACTTCGGAGACTTCGAGGTTATCCTCTCAGGCGTAGAAGCTATAATCAACCAGAGACCGTCAACGACGGTCTCACCCGACCCGAACGAAGTTCGAGCACTGTCGCCAGCGAACCTTTATACGACTACGACGGCCACTCACGACTGCCAGAATCGAAAGAAATCCCGAAGCTACGGAAAGACATCGGAGCTATCGTTTTCTCGAAACGGTGGAATTTCCAGTCAGAAGACGTTATCGGCATTCTGGAAACGGTTTCAAGCAGAGTACCTCGCAAATCTACGAACAGCGCACTCAAGGCGACCGGTGAAGCAACGCTCTCTCCAGCTCGGAGAGATCTGCATTCTGAAAGAAGAGAATACCCCGAGAAGTCACTGGCCGCTAGTCCGCGTCGTAGAGCTATACAAGAGCTCCGCGGATCACCGTAACCGGACCTGCACTATAAAATTCAGTAACGGGAGAACTCGATTGAGACCGGCAAAACTTCTATACCCGTTGGAACATGGAGCGCCGGACCCCCTGCAATGAAACGAACATGAGATCACGTGTTACTGGCGGATCACCCAGTCAAGGGGACTGATGACCAGCATTAGAGAATAGTGGAAAAAGGAAAACATATGTTTATTTACAATCGAAATACGATCATCACACGACAGAAACTCAGTCGGATTCATCACTGGAAGCCTCCTCGATTCGTATGTCGAACTCCGGATCGCTATCACCGGCTTCGGGGGGCTCATGCCGAGTTCCAGTGAACTTCACCAGGGTTTTGGATACGTCCCGAGTATGAGGACTACGTGCATGCCTCACATATCTCATGGCCGGCCGTTAACTCGCCACAGCACTTCGGGCCGACTCGGGGTTAGCCCGCTCGCGACGCAACGGATTTAGCGGCACGCGTCTCTCTTCTCCAGCGGGACCCTGAACAACTTTCGTCACACGCAGGACCCCATCCGCGGGGGGAGGGCGGGCCGAGCCCAGAACGGTCCGGGCCGACGTACGGCAGCCTTCGCTTTCGGGGAATCCAGGGGAATATACTAGGGAAGTGGGGCCGGTGGTCAACGATTCGAATCTCCGACAAGCCCACGAGGCCCAGCCACCTCCTCCGCAGAATCCGAACACTCCGTCGGCAAAGATTTCGCGTCGTTCGCGACATCCGGGCCCCTTTCAATTTTCTCCGCGAGAGCGACGACTGCAGGCCCACTGGGCTCCACCCTCGCTCCGACGGATTCTGGACTTTCTTTCCACGGCAACTTCGTGGCGTTAGCGATGCCCGATTTCTTTTCTTCTTTCGTCACGGAGATAGTTTATGCAGCGGGCGGTGTCCATATCACCGCCTTCTTGGTAACCTCCCCTGCAGGGGCGAGTTCATGGGACCCGCCGTTCGCCACCTCTGCCTCGGGGAAAGCGCTTACCGGCTCAACCTCGGGAGTGGCACCCTCATTTTCGTCACCTGCTGCCGGCGCAAGGGAAAGCACTCGATGTCCCGCGAGCATGGTCTCCTGCCGACGCGCGAAATCCCCGGAAACATAGGCTGGAGCACCGACGGGATGAGCCCCGACCCGACGCAGTGCCGTCGAACGACGATAAAACGGCTCCCGCTCAGACGGAGACATCGCCTCCCAGACTGTGATCAATTCTTCCCGGATCTCGTCCCAGGTCATAGCAGCGTAACCGCGCTCACCGAATTCGACCAATTTCGTCATGGTTTGGTCAGCTGTCGCCCTGGTTCCCCAGAAGAGATCCAGAGACGCCCATGAGGGCGGAAGCAGACCCAAGAATCTCTGGCAAGCCATTTGGTCATCCTCCTTAACGCCTGCCAAATGGAGTCCTCCAAGAACGGTTTTGAAGGCCTCTACATTCTGCATGACAGTCTTGGACGGATTATATTTGAAGTCATTATATTTCTTCTTGGCTGCTCCTTGCGCGGCATAATTCGTGCCGCCAAAGCGATTCTCGAGAGCAGACCATATGTCCTTAGCTGACTTTGCATCCAAGTCGATGTTCGTGGCGTTAAAGTATGCGGTGATCAAATTCATAGAGATAGAATTGAGAATTATCGCCTTAGCTGCACCATTGGCAGCTTTGTAATTAGTATCGGTCATTGGAAGCTCGCCCTTCGTAGCTTCGAGTGCATTCGGCACAGCCCCAAGAAGCGCTCGGACCGAAATCCGCCACGGTGTCCAATTCTTTCCACTGTCCATGAGTCGCACACCTTGTAATTGATTGAATTTCGGACCAGATCCGCTTGTTCCATCTCCCGGCATATCTGCCAATCGGGGAGTATGAGATGGGATCGTGACAAACTCAAACGTATCCTCAATCTCCGGAGCACTTTGCATTAGCCGAAAGAAACCAGATCGCAGCCCGATTCTGCCGTACCACCAATACCAAAAGTTACAAGTAAACAGCTTACCCCTTCGTTTATCTTCCTTGGAAGTCACGCCAGCGATGGTAAGCAGAGCTAGTCGTGCTGATAACGTGTTAGAGCGTGAAGTTGGAAGACGGGAAACGTACTGACTCAAGGAGTATGAGTGATGACTCAGGAGTACAGTCTCGCGAAGGGGAGACACCACAGTAAAGTTTATTGAAGAACAGTCTCCTTATATATAGGAGACGGGGTGGCAGGAAGGCTCCGCCTTCCCGGCATGCGTACCTACATAGATATGCTTTACCAATATCGAACCCCGCTTTCTTACAAGCGGGAAGAGTCTTATCCTAGTACGGAGCCGGGGTGTAACCCCGCTTCAGTGACTCATCTCAGAAGCGTCTCAACGCTCTGAGTCATACTCAGCTGTAAGTCTGAGGACTCACAGTTTTTCGTCTTATCTCGCCTCAACACTTCACTT